AATAATTCAGTTTTTCCTTTGAATCATTGCAAGACTTAGGTTCTCGTTCTATTTTCCCCTTAATTTAAAATTATCTCAGTGATAAATTTGGAGAAGAAAAATAGCTGATGAAAATGAGCAGCGACGACGTGGATTCGAACCAGGGATCTTTGTATCCATAGCTCATCTCGCTATCCACTAGGCTACTGTGTGGTAGCTCGACGACAACCGTTCTTTAAAATGCTTTAATGTATTGTAACTAGTTGAGTAACTAACAACAATGCTGTTGATGTCATTGTCCGTTCTCATGGATAAAGATGAATTATTCATGACATTGCCCCTAACCCTCCTAGGAATAAAAATTACGCGAGCGGAAATGGGGGAAGGGGTTCACATCGAAATCGGTCATGACAGACTCGCCCGGAATGATAACCATGGTGAGGTCTGTCTGCAGTGGCGTAGCCAGGAATTTTTCAGGGGGGAGGGGGGGGGGGCGCTGGGCGGCTGGAACATTTCATGGGGGGCGTCATGTAGGGGCGTCAATCGCTTCTCAAAAGTGGAGGGGGGGGGACATACCTTGATCAGAACTGATGCGAGCGCGAAGCGCGAAGCCCGAAGCCCGAAGCCCGAAGCCCGAAGCCCGAAGCGCGAAGCCCTTACGGCGTGGGGGTTCGGGGCCCGCTTAAGGGCCCCGAAAAAAAATTGGATTCTAGATGTTCTGTGGTGTGATCTGAAGCAATTTCTTACCACTTTCCTCAATGCTTTAACTAATATTTTCTTAGCAAAAGATAGTTATTTGAACATCGTTTTCGAGGTTGGAGTCATTGAATCAGCTATCGGTATTCTGAGCTATAGGCGTGGGGTTCGGGGGCCGCTATAAGGCCTAGGGCCCCGAAAAAAATTGGATTCTCGATGCTCTGTGGTGTGATCTGAGGCAATTTCTTACCACTTAAACCAATAATTATCTTAGCACAAAAGATATTAATTTTAACATAATTTATCTAGGTTTTTTCAGCTAAAGGCATAAGAAAAAAATTTGAAAATTGTTTTCGAGGTTGGAGTCATTGAATCAGCTACCAGAATTCTGAGCTATAGGCGTGGGGTTCAAATTTTGGGATTCTCAATGCTCTGTGGTGCTATCTGAGGCAATTTCTGACCACTTTAACACATATTTTCTAAGCAAAAGATACATTGTAGTACATAATAGGGCTCTGTAAATGAGACACGAGTTCAAAAATCTGGGGGGTGGGGGACATTTGATATTGTGTCCCCCACCCTTCAAAAAGTGGGGGGGGGGGGGGGGGGGGGGGGACCAGTCCCCCTGTCCCCCCAGGATTGACGCCCATGGCGTCATGTAGATCAATGATAATTTTCTCAGTGGGGGGCGACTGGGGGGCGACAAGGTTTCATGGGGGGGGGCTGTCGCCCCCCCCCCCCCCCCCCACGCCCCGCCGTGGCTACGCGCGCCACTGATTTCAAGGAATTTTAATTGGTCTATATTATTATTTAGCTTATATGAATGGAGGAAAAAGTTTGTGCGTGGCCGATTCGCGTGATATCGCTGACTGAAACTGTGTGACCCACGGACCACCTGTCTATAATACGTGTTCCGTGGTGTGAGCGAGCAGTGCAGTGGGTGTTAATACGCATTCATAAATACCTAAGACAGTTAACGCATTCCTATTGGTCGAGAGCCCGTCACGTGGCCGGTCTTAAACGGATGATAAAGACATGGCTAGCTCAACCTCGTCCCCAGGGTGTCGAGCAGTACGCGCCCACCACTACCTGCTCTCTCACCCTGGTATTGGATCATTTGCATGTGCAAGATTTTTGCACACGTATGCAAATGAGGAACAGTCTGGTGCCTGGATATGCGTTACACATTAGCGTTTGTTTTTGTATGGGGTGTCTGGGGTAAAAACAGAGTCAATTCGTAGCAGCGCGAGCACGGCGTGAGTTACGAAAACACGATTTTTAAAATCAAACTGTTACGATCTATCGAGACAACATGCAGTATCATATTTCATATTAATATGAGCAAATTGGAAAGGAAATTAGTATTTTCGAGAAGGCGTGGACGAATGATCGCGAAAATACGTACTGCACGTTGTGAATATATAGCACCAAGTACACGATAAAAATCCATTACTAGCCAATTGCGGTATCCAATCAGGATACAGGAAGAAAGTTTCCTATCCAGGGTTTACTATTGGAAACGCGGTTGGAAATAAAGTAAGCACTGGGGACGAGGTTGTGGCTAGCTGGTCTTAAACACTTTTCCAGTGTCACAATAAAATGTGGACTCCTAAAAATCCAGTGCCTCTTATCGTTTTATTGGTTGAACGTTCACAATCCTCACGTAGGCATGCGCAACAGTACCAGGAAGTCAGAATTTTAAAGTTCTAAATTCAAAACGCAACGCGCCAGGTGCGTTCTGCGCGACATCGCGCAGAACATGATACGCGCGCGTCAATCTCCATAAAAGAGTTGTTTACATCTTACTCGCCAGCTGAACACTCCATTATTTTGCAAGAGGGATGTTTCAAAAAGCATAAAGTGAATTTGTTGAACAAAATCGGGATGTTTTGAACGAATTCTATGATTTTTTCTTACCGAAAAGGTATTTATGAATGGGAATAAATATGTGCTCCGTCGGTATTTATCACTCTGTTTAAGACCACTTAGAGTCTGGGTGCTAATAATTACCCTCGCCTCCGGCTCGGGTAATTATCAGCACCCAGACTCTAAGTGGTCTTAAACAGAGTGATAAAAACCTCCGAAGCACACATTTATTCCCTTATTTTAGATTACCATTATGCGCTATGTCACGCCGGTTGTCAGCTTACTGGTCCACGGCAAGGGCGGATCCAGGGGGGGGGGGCCAAAGGGGGCCATGGCACCCCCCCCCCCCCCCCCAAAAACGAAACCATTTTTTAAATTGTTTTTATGTGACATCGCAATAAAGGCAGGCAATGAGTACACCACCATCTTTTCCTCAAAAAACATTGGTTAAAGTGGTCAGAAATTGCCTCAGATCGCACCACAGAGCATCTAGAATCAAAAACAATTTCGGGGCCCTTAAGCGGGCCCCGAACCCCACGCCGTAATTTTTTTGGCCCACTTTGTCGGGGGGACCAATTTTTTTTTGTGGTCCCCCCAAAAATTATTTTCTGGATCCGCCCTTGGTCCGCGGTCGCCGGTCGAAGGGTCGTTTCTCAGTGGTCATCATGTGGATCATTCGCGACTATTTAGATTTAAATCAATGATAATTTTTTTAGAAACTCAAAATCTCAGTGGGGGGGGGGCGACTGGGGGGGGGGGGGGCGACAAGGTTTCATGGGGGGCGGACGCCCCCCCCCCACGCCCCCCGGTGGCTACGCCACTGTCTGTCTGTATGCATAGTTGGTGTAAAATGTTTCTAATAGCATGCCTAAAGTTTGTGTACGAACGACAACGGATTCTGCTCGGCGGGTACTATATATTTTACACGGCATTTTAGCCGTAGGCAACGTGCGTTTAAAAACAATACGAATAGATTAATAGGGGAGCCCTCACTCTTGAAATGCCGGACCAATGTTAAATTCATTAATTGTATCAATCGATGAAAAAATGTGGGGGGTGGGGGGGGGGGGGGTCGTGCACCCGCTTTGTATATTGGGCAGATGATTCGGGTCCAGCATTCTAATGAGAAGTAGGTAAAAGAATGAATGCTTTATCATGAACGCTGGCATTAATCGTTATTTAATTTGTTTATTTATTTAATTTTTTTATTCTTTTCCTTTTTCACAATACAAGTTACCATGTTTACAAACCCTTTTTAATATTTAATAATATAGTTATTGAAATAAATAATTTATTTTGAATTAATGGAAATTTGGATCTGTCTATGAAAATCCTACTTGAAATCAGTGGTGCACCCAAGGGGGGGGGGGGGGGGCTTGAGCACCCCCAAGATGTCATTTTTTTTTATATTCCCAAATTTTTACCTTGGTGATATGTAGGCCTATGTGGCCTATTTTTGACGGAGCAGTTTTATAGGGGTGAAAGTGGCGCCACCAACGTCAGGCCCGTGGTATTACCAAAATAATTACCATAGTTTTTTTTAAATCGGGGGAAACGTGTGGGCCCACCATGCAAGCTTAATGCTTAAAAACGGTGCATTATTAGGAGTAACGTATCGCGAATCTCCCAAATTTTGGCGCTTGCATTAAAGGCCCTCCCCCCCCCCCCCAAAAAAAAAACCCTGCTCCAATACACCCGGCACGTATACCGAACCCTACAGTACATGCCCGTGCATGGGACGTGTACACGTGTGCTTAGTTGTACATGTACATGTAAATTTGTAATTGTATGAACGCGCAGGCTAGGCAGAGTAAGGATGTACCAACCTCGACCCCAGGGTGTCGAGCAGTACGCGCCCATCACTACCTGCTCTCTCACCCTGGTATTGGACATTTGCATGTGCAAGATTTTTGAACACGTATGCAAATGAGGAATACTCTGGCGCCTGCTTGTGCGTTACATTTGCGTTTATTTTTGTATGCGGTGTCTGGGGTAAAAGCAGAGTCAATTCGTCGCAGCGCGAGCATGGCGTGAGTTACGAAAAACACGATTTATTTGATTAAATTGTTACGATCTTACCGAGACAACATGTAGTATCACTTTTAACATTAATATGAACAAATTGGGAAGGAAATGACTATTTTCGAGAAGGCGTGGACGAATAATCGCGAAAACACGTACTGCACGTTGTGAATAACAACACCAAGTACACGACAAAAATCCATTACTAGCCAATTGCCGTATCGAATCAGGATGCAGGAAGAAAGTTTCCTATCCAGGGTTTACTATTGGAAACTAGGTTGGAAATAAAGTAAGCACTGGGGACGAGGTTGAGGATGTACATAATTGATAAGTTCGATGACGCCACATTCACGGTATAAATAATCATAAGTGGTATCACTCGGGTTGTGATACTGGCGCCACCGTAAAAACGTAGGCCTAACTGGACAATAGAGGGCGTATTACATAGTTTCGGCAGAATTCATGCGGCGTATGTCATATGTACACATGTTCGTCATGTACGTAGGGCCTAAACGAATATTGCATGGAGATTATCAGCACAGCAGCACAGCTAGACTGACGCTGTTGTTCGGTTATTGCATTGAACTAGTTTAATCATGTATTTTCATTCGAAAATTATGATAGTGTGAAGTACTTTGACTTTGTAAATATGAACAGAGGGTGAGTAAAAATAAAGTGTAACATAGAAAATGCAGTGTGGTAGCCGTGGTAGCCGTGGTAACCAGGTAGGCACATGGTATAGGCCTAGCTAGGCCTAGGCCTTACCTTTCGTGCGGTGCCCAAATTCGCGCAACCAACTTTCTCGGCTCGAATCTTTTTTCACACAACACGGACCGACGTCGGAGTAATTGCAGAATACCCCGCCACGCGAAAATTACCCCCTAAAAATAAATGGCTACGCAGTCGGAAAATGTTGCAGAAATGTCCGAAGTAGGCCTACATGTAGATGTCGGGAAGTGGATACGCGGATACAATATACGGGGTGGATTTGAGTGCTGGAGGGTCTAAAGAGGGAGCTATTTCCCTGTATTAAGAAATGCAGCCAGCAGGGACAACGTGAATTGAATGGGGAGCAGGGGTTCAATTAGCCCCATAAATGTGGCCTATTTACTGGACTGCCTCCGTAAACATAGGCCACACATCCACATGTACAAAAAACGTGTCGATTTTGCCAAATTTTGATTTTCACATTTAGGCTTACTTTTTACGTTTTTTTTTGCTTTAGAAGCATTCTCACCCTCTATATAGGCTAATCAGAAAGTGCTGCCTTTTTCAGATGTCCATTTTTCGTGAAATTTCCAGATACATTTGCACACGTTTGCGTATCAAAATTTCAACATGAAATTTCATAAAAATTAAACATCTGAAAAAGGCAGCACTTTCTGATTAGCCTATATAGAGGGTGAGAATGCTTCTAAAGCAAAAAAAATCTACAAAGTAAGCCTAAATGTGAAAATCAAAATTTGGCAAAGTCGACACGTTTTTTGTACATGTGGATGTGTGGCCTATGTTTACGGAGGCAGTCCAGTAAATAGGCCACATTTATGGGGCTAGGGTTCAATAAATCTAAGTCCAAAGTAGGTGCCAGGAAGTCTATACGGGGTGGACTTTATTTTTAGCGGAGGAAAATATTTTTGAGAACGAAGCGTCCATATCCATGTTGGAAAATAACAAAGGCAGAGACAACGTGAGTTGAATGGGGAGCAGGGGAAAAACGTATAAGTCCAAAGTAGGTGCCGGGAAGTAGATACGCGGATACGGGGATATGGGGTGGCACACGCGTGTGGTTTTGGTTGAGCATCCAAGCGTGACTCCGTATCCGCGTATCCGGATACGAGGTAGGATACATGAGTGGCGGGGTATTCTGCAATTGTGCCCCGACGTCAAATCACCGTCGATGATCCATCGTCACATCGCCTTTCTTCTCAATGCAGTTAGGCCTACGCAGAAATCAAAAGCTTTTCCGAGAAGTGATTTGAAAGAAATAAAACTAAAGAGAGAGTAAATTATTGCCGTATTGACTAGATACAAAACGTAACATTATTGAATGGCCCAGAAAACTAATAAAAACATCACTACGAATTTCCAATCAGTGTCGTTGTCCAACCCCGAAACATGAAAGATAACTTTGGTCGACTTTCATTAAACAACAGAAGGCGTAATCAGAATTAAGGAGCACGAAAAACGACGTGCGCCTCATATAGTGTTAATATTTTACGATCTGTTTTGCCGAGATGCAGATTTCGGTACCAAGTTGTTTGCTGGAATTAATATGCTTTAAAATAAATTTCTGTTGGAATTAGACCTAATCGTAATGTTTAAAGTACCCAAAACGTAGGCCAATACTTATTTTTTTGTTTTTATTGAAACGATGTGTATCAAGCAACCATGTGTCGAGGCAGTGCGATTGGCCATGGTATGGTCAACCGCATGCAGGCATGCCCGCCTGCATAATTGATTGATTAATCGCAGGTGTATTAGAATGAGCAAAAAAGGCCGGAGAACATTGTTACAGAGGGGTGGTTTTGTTATGTTTTTGATGGAGGGGTCATTTAAAATATATTTGTCCATGGATGTACTTAAAAATATAAACATGGCATACTAAAGTTATATTGCATATGTTTCTATTTTTGGAGAATATATATAAATTTTCAAAATGTTATGTAATTGGCACATGGTTGATTTTTAGCAAAACAAAATTCCCGGAACTCTTTCCATGCATAGGATTTAACTAAACTTCTTAGATTTTCGACAAAAATATATTATAAGATTTATGGGTGTAATTTATTTACCTCAAATCTTCAATATGATATGATTTTAAAAATTTTGCATGCAGTTGTTTTTACCAAAATCGAAAGAAATTCATTTATTTCATATTTAAATAAACGTGTAGGGCCTATTTTATAGTGACAATGTCGGATGGCAAACAATGACATTTTCCGTTCGTGCACGAATTATGGACACAAAATTTTCGTGGCAGCCAATTTGACTCATCTGCAGATGACTACGTTCTTGGTGCTTCCTTGACGTTCGATATAGTTCAAATTATTTTCCATGTAGTTTATTAGCCATTCTTACAATATTAAAGTCCATAACTGTGTAGGGTTTAGTTCATGCAAGAAAAAAATTGGTCAAAGTACGAAGTGCACACAAAATGGTCACACGAGGATACTTCTGAAATCAGAAGGCTGCTTGTGAACGAGCAGGCTTCTGATTTCAAAAGTAGGCCTAGCTGGAGTTACCTCAGCCCTAAATTTTATCATTGGGTAGTCATTTAGGGCTGGAGGAAGTTATCAACTTGGACTAGCAGGCATTTGGCAGGTACAAAAAGAATTCGAAAATGTGCCATTTTGTCCCTGTAACACACTAATTTGAACTGCTGGGACTCGCCCAAACCTTGCCTGGCATAACCACTACATACCCCTAGAACTATGACGTAATACCCATAGATGGGCATATCAATGCGAACATGCTGTATACTCTACCAATAATATGGAAGTGAGTTTTGGAGCGGCCGCTGTATATTTGTACCCCCAGACTATGCCCAGTACTTCTTGACATACTCACGTTCTGTTCGCTTGAAGTGTAAGGGTTGAATCGATTCGAAGGTACAAAAAAAATGATGAAAATGGTCCCATTTCCGCACCGAAGCTACAGTTTGAGTTTTAACGTTTAAACGTGCACGCGAATCGTTGTTGGCGTGACGTCAAAGTCGTTTGGTCTGGGAACCGACCACAGACACCGTCTTTATAGTGCATATCGCGGGTGGCGTCAGACGGGCCAATCACGAGCTGACGAGGAGCAGCAAGCAGCATAGATTGCACCCGTTCAGCAACCGTATTGGAGTTGATGATTTTGGGAGCACACTTTAATACCTGCGTAATCACAAAAATACCATTAACTTTCTTGTGAAATTTTGAGAGTTTTGTCTCCTGAATGCTTTGGTATCAACTAGATGTAGGTTAGTGTTGTGTTTTGCGACCACATTGTGCAACTTTGTCGTTGTGTGACATGATGTATAGATATTATTAGTTAAATGCATCAGACTCAATGCAGCAGTCATTCAAGAAGCAAAGTATGCCTAAAAACAAACATGAAGTGTTGAAGGTAGAATGGATAACCATTTTTTGCTTTGGCCAGTTGTGTATTTGTTTTTTTTAGTGGTTAGGTTGAGCATTGGGGATTTGATTCCAAAGTTTAAGATAAACATTTGTTTTAGAGTGCTGTTTTTATAATAAATCCTGTTCACATGTGTTGAAGGCACTATTAGAAGAAAGCAAACTTGCAAGGTTCTTTGACAACTACCAGGCAATTGTTTTTATGTGACCTGTGAATTTTTTTTGCTGCATTGCAGACTAAAACTTTTCAAATTGGTTTTACACACACAAAATGTTTTGCAATGCCCAAATGTGAAGTCTATAACTGATGTATTTTCTTCACAGTGAAGGAGCGAAGTATGCTGCCAAAGCGAAGTCTGGTCAAATTGGAATTTACCTTTTTAAAGGTAACCCTTTAACAACTCTTTAATACTTGCAACTGTCAAATGGACTCTGTGCATGGCACTTTTTGGCTACCTTTGATGTTAACCGACCCTCGTTTAAATAACAATTTTCTTTATGTCAAAGCAATATAGTAGATCATATCCTGACACTGTAAAACTAAACACACATTGTCCTTAAAATGCCTGTACGGGTCATTTGGCACATTTCCTGTAGTTTCATTTGTTTTCTAATTTATATGTGTTTGAATATTACTTGCAGATACAAAGCCAAACAAAAACAAAAAGGTAAGTATTATTTTCTTTCCTGTCCAATATTTAGGGGGAAAATGTGGAATGAACTCATGAGGTAAAGTGTTTTTAACTTAAGTGTCGACCTGTGTGTGTGTGTTAGGGGGGGGGGGGTGAAGACATGTTTAAAGTGGGAGATCATATCAGTTGAGGCCCCCCCCCCTTTTGTCTGGCTCCTGAAGAAAAAGTTGTAGGCTTATATTTGATTCAAGTTGATTCATTCATCGTTAATGAAGAGCTTGATGAAAACTAGATGTCATCATGAATTTACTTTGATATTCATCTGTAACACATCCCAGTCTAGTACACACCCAGTTACAACCAAATCCGACCTATAGTTCTATTGATATAGCCCTAAGAAAATTACATTTTAGTGTGACGTCACGTGATGACGTCATGATGACGTCACTTAAATTTTCATCTAACACATCCCGGTCTAGGTACATACATGTACCAACTTTCAATTTAATTGGACCTTTTTTTCTGTAGATACAGGCCCTCAAAATGTGCACTTTTATTGTGACGTCAAGTGACGTGATGACATCATGATGAAATCACTTAAATTTTCATCTCTAACACATCCCGTTCTAGGTACATACCAAGTTTCAACCCAATTGGGCCTGTAGTTATGGAGATAGCCCTTCAAAAAATACACCTGACGTCACGTGACTCGTGATGACGTCATGATGACGTCAATGTTCGACACACATATGCAGGTGCTAGTCTAAGTGTATGCCAAGTGTTAAGGCAGTCGTATCGATTTTAGTGCCCAAACTGCCATGCACGATAAAAACATGTAAAAATGCTGTAGGAAATTGCTGGACAAAAAATAATAATAATCTTAACAACTAGATTTACTTATGTTTGTGTACGTTTGGTCATTTGTTATTGTATTTTTATGTCATGTAGACATGTGCGGTCGAGTGATAAGGACCAAAACAGCTCTGTAGAAATTGGTCTTCAAAATATGCCTTTTTAATGTGCTGTCACATGTCACGTGATGATGTCATCGTGACGTTACTTCAATTTTCATCTACAACACATTCTTGTCTAGGTGCATACCAACTTTCAACCAAATCGGACATGTTGTTCTGTAGATATGTCAAAATATGTACTTTTATAATGTGACATCACATGTCACGTAATGATGTCATCGTGATGTCACTTGAATTTTCATATAAGATTTTAAGCTTTGCATGCTGGAGTATCGGTATCGTTTCGGTTTGCATTAACACCATGTGGTAATAACTGGCTGTTTTGGCATGTTTGCTGAAACAGCCGAAAACAAATGCTGTTTAGGCAATTGCCGGATAATCCCATTCAAACTTGAAAAAGATTTGTAAATGTTGATCAGCACATCTACTAGTATGCCGGGCCCACAGGTTCCATTGGTTTGTGTACGGAAGGGTAAGGAAATAAAAGCACATGAAGAACACATCTTGTTGATTAAGGTTTAATAATTTGTACAATATTTACCTTTTGCAGTTTGGATACAAGAAGAGAGCCCAGACATATTCCATTAGGAAAGTCACCACTGCCCAAGATTCACAGGCCAATAGCACACCAGCTCCGCTAAAGAAACCCACCTCTGAAAAGGCTACGTATCCCAAGAGCCATACCCAGTATGCAAAAGAAACGGGCTCACCATGGAGCAGGCAAATAGCAAGTAATAATACCTCTGACAGAAAGTTAACAGGGACAGATTTTGTGAAGAGAAATGTGCAGAAGGTCGGTGAGAAGACAAAAGAAGACTCCAAGGATGCTCACACCATAGCACTGACACAGGACCAGTTGAACGCAATACTGAAGTCCATTGGGCAAATAGCAGGCAGTGAGAAAGTTGCTAGTATTGAAATAGGTAGGAGCTAAATGTTTCTTAACTTAAAAAATTGATAAGAAATTCTTTCTAATAATGTTGAGTTGTAATGGTACATGTTCATAGTATTATTGGAATATCATCCATTCATTTATACTTGATTGTATTCTGTATCAGCATGGATTCATATTTGCTCTTTCCCAACTGGAATGTACCGGTATTGCAGAAAGGGAATATTAACTGTAGCTCACCATCCACACACGAGTGATTTTGTTCACAGTCACTTTGAAAGCAATGTTCCTATAAAAATGCTGAAATGGGAAGGTGATTGTTTGATTAATAAACTTGGTTCAAACTATGTTTACAATTTAAAATGTTATTCTTGCTTAATATGTAGAAGATGGGGATGTAAAAGTGAATGCTCCAGATGAGGAACTGCCTAAAGACAAGTTTGATGATTCCAACCAAGATTCCAAACCTGACAAAAAGGATGGCAATGAGCATACCGTGGAAGAAGGTGATGAGAACATATCTCCATTTCCAGGATCTCAGAACATCCTGTCATTGGTAGGAAAGGCAAGGACAAGAACCCCAAGCCGTGGGCCGAGCACAGAGCCTACAACCCCAAGCAAAACATCAGGTGCAGCCAACGCTGTATCATCCAAGACACTCAAGGAACGGTCAGCAGAGAAGGTTGCGGAGAACGGGAAAAAACAGACCATGAAAGATCCAAAGACAGGAGATGGAAATCAGACAGGATCAAGGGAGGAAGGCATTGGTCAGGTGGAGTTTGCTCATCTGAGCTTAGCTGAAAGAAAGAGACGCAAGTGGAAACAGGAGCAAGGTAAGTTTAACTTGGCCTTCAAATGGAGGAAAAAATCAGGTGGCAAAATGTCCATTTTATAAATAAGTCAACTTATGAATTGACAGATTTAAACACCCCAAGTGCTTCTGTTTGAAATGCCACCTTATTTTTGAAATGCCACCGTATTATATCTTGTAGTCTGTACTTTGCTTGTGGACTTTACTCTTGACTGCCATTCATACTGTTCACTATATTTGTTGAGCTCACATAAACACCCTACAGGTTATTGCATTGTTTGTGCACATTTTGAATGAAATAAGTCTTGTGTCTACGCACAATATGCAAGCAGAAGGATGTGTCATAAATCACTTCTTCAGCTTGATTCATCATGGTTTTATGTGCAAGCTGGAAGTCTAGGAAAATAGTTCTCCAAAGTGGCATTACATGTTTATTTTTCCTGATTAGATGAGCAAGAAGCTCTAAACCGACAACAGGCACTGCAAGAAAAGCATGTGAGGGAGGTTGTTGCAAGTAGAATGGGCATGATGCACCATGAGATGAGCACTCCAGAACATCATGAGAGAAGCCTGACAGCATCAAGGAACACACCACAGGTACGGTCACTTGTTACTGAACTGAGATCAAATAATTATGAACACATTGTATTATGAGTTTGTGTTTTCAATTCAGAAATAAAGGTTCATATTCTTAGCCAAAAGAGCAGCTTTGATTATTAATTTCTTACACGTGCATATGTTTTAACTTGTGTCAAAATTGGATGTACAGACTGTAACTAAACTACATAGCATAACGTACATGTAATTAACAATTTTATGGCAATTCTTTTAAGTGATGAAAGAATATGAGAAATGTATGTTAAATATACTTGTCAGTAAGTCAGCAGTTATAGAATACATGTACCGGTACTATAATTTGTTTCAGCTGTATCACATTTGAGGAAACTTTTTTTGCAAAGACGTATTTTTCATCCTTGCCTGTTTTTTTTATGTAACTAACCAAGATTACATTGCTCATTACAACTCACGAAACCATATGTAGAAAGATATGTGATAGAGGGAACCCCCCCCCCCTTTGTGTTGGTCATGTTACCAGAATCTCAAGAATTCTTTTGAGGTATCAGGGGAGGGGGAGGGGGGAGTTGTGCTAGGTAGCAACAGTCTAGGGTGTTTATAGGGATATGGGGTTACCACTCTGACACAAATCGTACTGTGTATACACAAAACATGTCTAAAGGAATTTTCTTCAATGGCTTTGTTAAGGGCCTTATTCACGAGTCGGCCATATTGAATTGAAAGTGGGGTGAAATCTTAATTTTTGGAACTTGCAAAGAGAAATGAATCCAAATTAATTTCTAATTCCAGTCCGCTTCAAATGAATAATTTAAAATTTGTAATTAAACATTCCCTAATGTTTAAAGCCAGATTTAAAAAAAAATGACAGTAAATACATGTAAGGCTGCATTGTGCCTGCAAAAATAGTCTGGCGCCATCGCATTCAACAGTTAACAATTAATGACATACATTCAGGGAACTTGACAAAAATGGCCAAAACTTGTGAATAAGGCCCATAAGTCCTGGTAAGTGTATTCATGGTGCCAAAATGGAGCATTGATAGCCATGCATGTTGATATGTAGGGAGACCAAAGAGTGGTGAGAGCTACATTGATTAAAATGTAACAAAACTAACCGTGGAATTGCCCTGAGCAATATATATTTATATAACATGGGTTGGAACCTACAGACATCATAAAATTATTATTGATGGTTTTTTTGGAGGGGGATGGGGGAGGAGAAGGAAATACATTTGTTGACTCATGGCATCTTATTTGTTTGGTTCAGGTTGATACAACAACGTCTTTGAGAGATCCATTCTCTTTGGAGACTTCACCCCGTGGTGTTGCCCCATCTAGTCTTGGTGTTATTGAAACACAGCGAATAGTACCAGCAGCCATGAGATCCTCATTTCTTATTGGTGGACAAGTATGTATGGTTTTATGGCCTATTGGCTCAATCTGAGCAAGTATATTTTTGAAGGTGGAATGCTAATTTTCATCAGAGACTTTCAGCCAATGCTGTGTATTGTTCACCCATTATATTGCTATATTCATTCTACATGTGTACATACAATGTACATATGTACATGTACAGACAGAAGGCTCCATCTGTATTCTGATTATTTGATTTAATTATGACATTGGTGTTACTAGTGTCACATTATAACAATATAAAACAATTTTTTTTTAAATAATTAAAATACTACTGAAAAAAATAATGTGAACAAGAGCCAACATAAGAATCACTTGTGTCTGTCTTTATTAAAAACAGACTATTTTGTTTGGAGTGCTGAGCGGGTTCAGCACTGAGCAGTCAGTCACAGCATCCAATGCAGCATACATGTTAATCCTGATTTGCACTTCTCCATCCGGTCCAGCGACATCCGTGACATGCGGATTGAGCCGAAAGATGATCAATTTATTTTCCAGAGTACCTTAAAACCTAGTGCAAGAATATAATTTGAACAATTTATCAAAGTTAGTATCCTAGTGATTTTCAAATGTTTGGAAAAAAAAAGTTTCCCAAACATATTTTCAAAGAAAATGATGTCTTTGAATGAAGAAATTGTTTTGGTTAGTATTTGAAGGCAACAATTCCTTTGTGTATTGCATTTGTTTTACATTTATGCTGAATTTAGACTTAGCCTACTTGCCTGACAAGAACATCAGTGTGAGTGACTTCTTCATGATTTCAATCAAAGGAAACTCAATGTAATGATTATATCGATATTTCAAGGTTGATTTTTAATATCAACAATCAAAAATTCTGACATGGACAGAGCTTAATAGACAGTTTCTGGAGATGGCTACTTACACGTGATACATTTATACATGAAGTGTACAGTACACGTACATGTACATTTCCCATAGTTATTCTGAAATAAATAACATTCTATTTTATAGAAAACCTGAATAAATCCCTGTCATCTGATTGGTGGATCGTTGATCACATGTCACTGAATAATTTGTCCCAACGCACGGTGCGCAGCGCACAGTGCAGTGGAAGTTCTATTGCACAGTGAATAGAACTTCCATTGCACAGTGTCACTGCTGCCGGTGGTGGCGCTGTTTTAAATCGATAAAAATTGAATATGATGGTTCTCAACCAGTTGAACAGTTTGCATAAATTAAATATGATGAACTTGTCGAACTTTTAAACAGTTTTTAATCTGAATAAATTGGCTATTAAAAGTCAACCAAGCAGATGACTAGGATTTATTCAGGTGTTATATAAAACAAATGATGAATGTTTGCGAGTGCAATAGAAAGAATAATTCCATGTGGTGACAGATGAAATGTTCCCTTCCACTCGGCTTCGCCTCGTGGAATGAAACATTTCATCTGTCACCTCATGAAATTAGTCTTACCATTGCACTCACAAACATTCATTATTTGTATACTATTCTATTGGGATGATATTGAACATTCAATAGTTTTGTTTTTCTCCACTTCTTTAGGGGTCAGCAGGTTCAAGGTTGAATGACCACAATGCACAGGTTAAAAGAAGACAACAGCAGGAATGGCTGAAAGAACTGGGTAAAAACATGTTTCAAGATGTTTCCCATGTTGGTTATCGTGGACATTGTCTCCCCCCCCCCCATCCCACCACCCTTTCTCAAGGGCTGTGTGTTTGTTTATGGTGTAATCGAGGACACACGCGTGCAACATCATTGGTGAATTGAGGCCAGGGACCAAATCGAGGACGACCTCAATTAGAAAACGTGTACAAAACCAATGAGAGCTGTTGCGCTATTTTACCTGCACGTAGGACCATGTACATGTACATGTACATGTACATGACTTTGTGTACATGTACATTCTGTACGTTCGTATACCCAGAAAGAATTGACTATGGTAGAACTGCTTATCTTTCAGAATTGCACGTGTTCATTTTTGTAGAATAGTTGATGCTATTTCTTTTAACACTTTCACCCGTTAGTATTCCCTCCCCCCCATTTGACTATCCATACCATAAAATATAACTCGTCTGTAAATATTTTCTTTTTTACCATTTGAACCCTTACCATGTACCCCAATACGACAGAAACTGGGTTTTTGTTTCCATTTTTTTTACATATCTCTTGTCAATTCTTTGTTATTCCTCTTTACATTTACAAAAATGATTTTGCACTTTTGATTTTCTCTTTCTTTCTTATTCTCATAATTACAAATAAAATGAAGTAACTGAACTGAATACAAATGTTATTTACAAATGTCTTTTTTTCTCTCTTTATAATTACAACTGAAATGAAACTGAAATGCTGTACAGTGAAATTATATTGGTGAGGTGGGTTGCATACACAATGTCTTCCAGGGTATCAAACAACCTTTGTCGAATGATAAATTTTGAAACAAGGGGCAGGACAAAGGGGAACTTCACAAGTTTCACACGTGAACCTAGTTTCTTTTCTCATGAAGTTTCTTGAACAAATAACACAACGTTTGAACAACCTAGCACTTTTCCCCGTTGAGGGTATGTCAGCAGGGAAGTGTCTTCCTATTAAACAGTCTACCTGGAGTAGGAAGACGGGATGGTCTACCTCTAGATCCACATACAGGGAGGTTTGGTGTGTGGGCATCTAAGATTTCATTCACTATAGTGTCCACCTGAAATTCAAGTACAGGTATTTGTCAGTCCTACCCAATGCTTTGTGCACAAGATGAGAGTTCACAAGGCAGACATCTAGCAGGTAAACGAACAGTCTCTTGTACCACTTGATGGACTTCCTGACCGAGCAGTGAGATGAGGCAAGTTGGTCTGACATGTCCACGCCATTTATGCCTGTGTTGTAGTCGATGACGCACTTGGGCTTCTCGATGGACTTGTTGTCCCGTTCGGGCTTGCTGGAGTCCCGGTCCCCCATTGCCGCCGTGTGCATCGTAGACAACATGCATCTTTCTTGTCTTTCCAGACCAAGGCAGGCAGGCCTTCGTCTGAAGAGCGATATGCAACTTCACCTTTATGGAGTTGCAAGTCGCAAAATCCTTGGGCATGTCCTTGCGATTTTTTCTGACTGTCCCGATGACGTTGGTCTTGTGGCTGTGGATTTCCCGGAACAGAGAAGGGCTGCTGAACCAGTTGTCAAGAAAAACAGTATTTTCAAGTTCCAGGTACATGTATATCTGGAGGCAGCTCCCGTACTTTGGCAAACTCTGTATACCTTGATACCAAAGCTGGCGTGCTTCTTGGGGTTGAATTGTTTGAACTTCAATCTCCCCTTGAACTTCCAAAGTGACTCATTCGTTGATATACGGCTGTCAGGAAGGTAGAATGATTTGAATTTCTCAGTCAGTGTATCTACCACCGGGCGGACCTTGTAGAGGTGATCACTTGGGTATCAGGTCAACTCGGACCCAAACCAAGTCGGACCCATGCCAATTCGGACCCACGCCAACTCGGACCCACTACCAACTCGGACCCACTACCAACTCGGACCCACGACCAACTCGGACCCACGACCAACTCGGACCAACGACCAACTCGGACCCACTATCAACTCGGACCCACTACCAACTCGGACCCACTACCAACTCGGACCAAAGCACGACCAACTCGGACCCAACAATGACTCAATCATTAGTTTCAGAGATTAGATTTATAGGTCATCTTAATGTTACAGTGCTTATATAGTGGAGATATTCTGTAATTATATTGGGCAGAATGGGGCTTTTAGTTTTGTTGTTTTCTTTTATTGCCGCTGTGTGGAGCGGTAGTTTATGATGCGTACAGTATACTGTTGCTAAACGCTTATTGTTTTGAACGTCATGAAACTAAACGTGCTTAGCTTTTTGAAACTGGGACCTGTGAAGCTAAACCAAGAAGCGTATAGTATAGGTTAGGCATATTATATGTCATTTGTACAACTTAATATATACAATGTACATGCTTTTTGAAATCTCGATTTTCTTTTCCAAACGAAATTCAAAGGATTATAATTTTGAGTAAGAAATATATTGCTTGTTTGTTTTTGCAGGCCTTTGTGTTGTGTAAAGTGGTTTTAAGTGGCGTGCACTATATTCAGAACAAATTTAGGAGCTTCCTGCTATTAAGGTTGAAATTAATTAATAGATTACTTGTCATGGGCTGATTTTTTTCGTGCAGCTACCTGTAAGGCCTTGAAGGATAATCTTCCCAGAGCTCAAATACTCCTTTTTGATGATTGACGTTGCATCTTTTTGTAGGGGATTTAACTTGATCTTTTTTTTTTAATTCACATACTGGCTTTGAATTTTGTGGGTTTTTTTTACGAATCTGTTTAACTTTTTATACTTTTCTGATTTAACTTTTTTGTTTATTATGGAACCTTCGTTTTTCTTGCAGTGTATGCAGTGGTGTTTATGTGTTGTTGTTTTTTTAAAATAGAGATTAGAATAGACTTCGTTTTTATATCTTATTTATTTTATTTATTGACTTATAATGTTTACTTTAATATATTTATTGAGTTAATAATGTTATGTTTGAAAGTGTTTATGTTTCAATGCCATACTTTTCAATTTTATTTTTCTATGAAGATCTGTTCTGAATTTGTATATTCGTTACGTTGAAGTTTGGACGAAAAACAATGTCAATTAATATGTTTTAATGAAATAAATGATTGGTTAAACCTTTAAAGCGCAATATGTTTTAAAGGAAATGAATAATAATAATAAATAATTAATTACACTTTTAAAGCGCATTTCAAATAGCATTTCAATGTGCTTTACAGTGACAAAAATGTTATGTTAATGCCGCAATACTGATAATGTACCTTACAATTACAATGAAAATTTATACGAAACAGCATCGCTGTAATAACAGATGAGAAGTGGACAAACTTTATGAAATGTCGAATGATTGAAAACGATGTCGAATGATTGAAAATGATGGGTCCGAGTTGGTCTTGCATGGGTCCGAGTGGGTAGGGGGTCCGGGTTGGTTGTGGGTCCGAGTTGGTAGTGGGTCCGAGTTGGTAGTGGGTCCGAGTTGGTAGTGGGTCCGAGTTGGATTGAAACCATCACTTGTATCTGCCTGACTGTTGTCTGTGAAGTGCAGATGGGACAGCAAGTCCATGAATCTGTCTCGGGGTATTATAACACGGAGTCTCAAATACGGGGCTCTCATCCAGTAGAGTTTCAAGTCCGGCTTGGGCATTATTCCCATGATGATTATCATGGCCAGGAACACCAACATCTCATCTGGTGTAGTATCGAACCATTCCCTCATGTGACTTGGACTTGGCATTTGACGCTATGGATTCTTGGCGGCGTAGTGATCTGTCTCATCGGCAATGTGCGCCGTCAGTTTGGGAGGGAAGAAGTTTTCGAAGATCTCCGTTGCTTCGCTAAGTTCATTCAAACCCGGCACTTTAACTCCCGTTGTACCATGAAAGCCAAACTGATGAGGAAAGTTGTCCGTGTCCTTCCACCGAATTGATTGGGTAGTCTTGGCTCGCTTCGCTAACCTTGCTAACGGTTCGTTAGAATCACTGTCACTACTTTCCATTTCTGAACTTTGTTCAGATTCCGAATCAGAATCTGAACCGCTGGTAGCAGTCACGGTTTGCTCGTCCTCACTGGAAGACATCGTGTATGCAGGTGCCTATAGGCTGTGTACATTTACATGTACACAGAAAGCCCAGTGTGGTCAGCTGAGTGTGCCCTATACAAAGGAGCGCGCTACACTGAACAAAAGCCCCTATTCACCGCCTGCTAGCCCGTGCACAATGGAAAGCGCTCAGTGAGCTCCTAACACTAAAAGCCTACTCAATCGAGAAGAATAGGTCCTTTCAATGAGTAAATTAGGTTTTAGAAGAATAATGAAGGTTCACCAAACTTTCCCTACTAAAAAAACACCTTTCAATCAAAACCTGCCTGCAACAACAGGATGGAGATGAATGTAATGTGTACGTGCGACAATGCGAATATGCCCGCTCCCCGTAGCCGAGGAGTTAAACAGTTTTAACTACATGTACATGTATTTGTTTTCTGACTGTTTTGCACTTTTAGGCACACTCTGTACATACAAACATTTATTTTGCTGATTTCAGGGGAAATATAAATTTGGTCTTTTATGCCTCAAAACAATGAAAAGCAAGTTAAAATTTCCTAGGAATCTTTACAGGCTTTCTATGTTTGTTAATTTAATGTCTTCATATCAATCAAAAATTGGGTTATATGCCAGATATGGTCCCTTTTTTAATAGGAAAACAAAACTGTGAAATTCTCCCAAGGGGAAGAATATGTTTTGATTTGACTTGTAAACATTCTACCTACCCCTGTTCACATATATTGGATGGATCAGAAACACTCTGATTGCCTAATACAGATAGATTTTTTATTTTTTCCTCCCACGTTTTAAAAATGTGGCCCCTCCCCCAAAAGAGGTAAAATTCTGGATTATTTTCTTTCTAATGATGTAGCACTTATTATTTCAATTGTTTTTTTTGTCGCAATTACACAACCCCCCCCCCCTTCACTTTTTAATATCAAGGCTCTGGTTTTGAACATGTTGAGGTATCCATAGGTGATCTTGAGAGTTTCAAAGGTTGTGCTCAAAAAATACAAGTAGTTCCCCTCATGCCCACTTCTTATTTATTTTATTTTGTTTGTATTTATTAGGGATTTATTTGTATATAAGTACATGTATATCTAATGATTGAATGTGAATGGATGATGTCATATTTTTTGTTAATAATAGAACAACAGCGTATTGAGGCACAAGAGCGCAAAGAACAGGAGAAACGACGCCATCAAGAATTTGAATCCAATTTGACCCATCAGTGGGCAGAGCCTGTTGAATTACCTAAGACACAACAGTCCATAAAGGGTCATGGGAAGGTACATGATGACTCGGCCATGTATAGACAGATTGAGAGGAAGGTTGACAGAGGGGAGGAGGTGGAGCAACCCCATAGTGCACCTCCACCGGGCTCAGAGGGCAGAGATGACAGCCAGGCATTTACAAAACCATCCCAAGAAAGGTTAGAAAGTGCATTTTAGAAATGAGTCTTGTTAAGGGGATAATAATGTGGTCGAGCAGTTTTAAACGTCTGGTTTGAAACCAGGTCGTGGCCGTGGCCGTCCTCTTGATATCGGGACTTTTATTATCACTGTTTGAAAATGAAGACTTTGGCGTGGTATCTGTTAATGGTTAAAGATACATAATACAAGGTCCAAATCAGCGGACTTTCTACTGAGGGGGTGAGTTGGCAGAAGGCAATGGTCATTTTAAGCGGCCAAGCCCCTACATTAACTTGGAAGGCAATTTTTTTTTTAAATTAATCACTTTTGTTTGTGGCAGATAATCCAATTAAAACAGATAAGCAGTTAAAACAGATGGTCTATTTTCTAAACAAAATAATATGTATAGCAGTTTTGAGTGAATGGTTTGTCCCCAAAAATGTACCCCTATCATTGGTGAAAAAACATAGGTGACAAAATGTGGTATTATGTATTACATTGGTTAGAAGAGTTCATAGGATCAAACCGCTTGATGTAATTGTGAATAAGATTAAAAGCATTTAGAAGTAAATGCTGAGTACTGTCTTTACAAGTTGCTGAATTTAAAGTGATTATTGCCATAAAATTAAAGCAAATCAACAAGTGTACAAAGCAGTTTTAAATATGGCAATATGAAATACTTCTTTGTGGTCGTCCCCAGACCCGCACAGTATTATTAAAGTACCATAAGAAATCTGTTCCAGAGAATTAGGTACCCTCTTTTTAAAATTAGTTAAATTTGGACTTCCTATTGTCAAATTGGGCTCTTTGTAAAGTGTATGTAAGTAGTATTTGTACAGTGTTCTTTTGTCATTATTAATAAGGGAATAAATGTGTGTACGGGAGGTATTATAACACTCTGTTTAAGACCGGTTGGAGTCTGGATGGGTGATAATTACCTGAGGTGAAGCCGAGGATAATTGTCAGCTTTCCAGACTCCCATTGGTCTTAAACAGAATGTTTAATACTGACCAAGCACATAAATACCTTTTCGGTCAAAAAACAAAATCTTTTCGGTCAAAAAATCTAAACAAGTCACAAACTAGACGTTGCCAACCATTTTGTTCAACAATTTTATTTCATGTTTTATGAAAAATCCCTCTGACTGTAATATGGAATTTACCTCTACAACTGCTTACCTTATAAGGAGATGGGCGTCCGCCTACTGCCTGATGTCGCGCAAAACGCACCTGGGCTGGTGTAGTGTGAATTTTGGACTATGAAATACTGATTCACTGGAAGTATTGCACATGCATGCGTGAGGAATGTGAACGTTCAACCAATGAAACGTTAAAGGGCACTGGATTTCATGGGAGTCCAAATTTCATGTGACACTGGAAAAGTGTTTAAAGACAGAGTCCATCATTTGCAACTTTTGATTTGAAATCGAAATCCTAGATCCTATTTTTCTCAAAATATACAGCTAAAGCTGAGCTGAAACTTCATCAGGTTTAGTTGTTCAGCACCCTTTAGATCTTGAGCACTTTTGTTGCTTCAAACGAACAAAATGCACAAATTACAAATGATGGACTATGCCTTTAAGACCAGCCAGCCATGTCCTTATCATCCATTTAAGACTGGCCACGTGACGGGCTCTCGACCAATAGGAATGGGTAAACTGTATTAGCTTTTTATGAATATGAGATAAATTGAATCCATTTTCTCCATCAAGGAGTCACATTAGAGCTCACAATCTTCTCCTGGATCCTGCCGAGATTGAGCGAAGAGAAGCCCAGCGAGTTAAACACATGGAACACATGGTGAGTAGCCCTTCCACAGGTTCCCTGAAAGATATGAAGCTCACATAATACCCCGTCTTTGTAAGTGGAATGATGCATTGGTTCTGATGTACCCTGATGATAAAACCTGACATAGACGCGACACATGTGTATCCACGGTGTCAGGACTAAGAAATGTTGCCAGATATCAGGAAGTGATTAGGACTTTTCACGTATGTGTTAGCAACAGCATTTTTAGCTCTTCATTTTGATTTATATGATGCCTGAATAAAATCCCCATCATCTGATTGGTGTGTCGTTGATCATGTGTCATTAAATTATTCATCCCAACCCACGACTCAGCTGCACTGCAAAAGTAGAAGTTCCTTTTATGGTAAATTGAAGTTGGACGGTCATGTTGTTTGCGGCTGCGACCAATCAGATGACAAGGATTTATTTAGGTGTTGTAACAAATAATGAGTGTTTCACGTTTTTTTCAATGCAAAGAATAATTTTATGAGGTGACAGATGGAATGTTACATTCCACGAGGCAAACTTGATCTGTCACCTCATAAAATTATTCTTACCATTGGCTTAAGAACATTCATTATTTGTATAATATAACACAGACATTCTGATGCATATGGACATTGCATGGATGAAAAAGTTGACAGTTTATATTGATTTTTGAGATTTGTGAGCCTGTGTACTCACAAGCAACTTTGTTGACTTCAGAACACGTTTGATTAGTGTTCATTTTAATTATAACTTGACACTGAATGACTTGTTATCGACTTGGAATTGACTTTTGATGACTATGAGAATTTGGCTGCAACTCTGCTTATATCAATACTAAATTATATTTTCTATTTTTTTTTCTCGTTTGAAAAAAGTCTTCAGTGTTAAATTGTGAGACATCACTATCACGCACATGACCAGTAACCATACAACATTTGTATGTTTAGCATCCACTGGCAAAATGTAAATGTGCAATTCAACTCTCCTTCATTAATAGGTTTTTATCACGAAAGGAGAGTGCAATGGTTCATGTATGTGTTGCAATGCGATGCAAAACATCCCACCTACCCTGTTAACCAGGCAAGGCAAAATCTCGTCCTTAATAATTGCAAAATACTGACTCTTGATTTGCAGATGCTCATGTCTAAATAGAACTATGCGAACCAGGGAAATGAAAGTGTCGATACATATCGGGTCATGCAATGCCTTCCACATGATGGATTTAGTTGGCAGTAAAGAACTGTTCACTGTTGTGAACTTTAACAATTGTGTACACCCTTCCCCTTTTACTTTGTGTGTGTGCTTTTCTCATTCAGCTTGCTGTAAAGGCCCAGGTTGAAGAGAAGCAGCGACTTAAAAGAGAGGCAGAGGAAAGGAGACGGCAGGGGGAGGCAGAGGAGGAAAGACAATTGGCACATCAGAGAATGAACTTACAACATCAGTATGATTCAGAGAAAGAAAAGCAAAGGAAAAAAGAAGTAAGTGTTTTATGATGGCCTAAATGACAGTCTACTTCTGAATTTACTGACAGTCACTGATAAACACTGACACAGTATTGCGTGTTAATTGTTAAACAAAAAACACTGAAGAAAACTCAACAGTACAAAACCTCCTGTTTGTTTAAACCCCAGTTCTACTACGCTTGTCTTACCCATAGAGCATATCAACATACATGTAGGCATTATTCCTGTATATGGCGCAAGCTAGTCACTACTTTATTTCCCAAACTAACTCGCAGCCCACCCACCATGACATCCTCCTTTCTCTTAGTGAACGCTAAGTGACAGATATGTATTTAGAGTTCCGTTTACTGATCTGTTTTCTTAGCTGCTTTCCAGTTTCTTTGAGTGTCTTCGGAGCAAATTGTTGTGAGTTTTTGGCAGTTTTGTTGGTCCTTTTGTGCCTTGGCAGCAACGGCTCATGCTTTTCACTGCCTTGTCAATGGAGCGACACCTTGCACTCTCAGCAAGCCCCTCACTCTCAATGATTGTTAACCAACAGAGTGATACTGCTGTGTCCCCCCCCCCCCCCACCCCGACAAGTCTCTTATCATACCAACCATAGAGTGACACTTGGCCCATCTCCGCACGTAGCTTACTCATTAGTGTACAATTTCAACCAATGGCCTCAACTTCAACCAATCCTCATTTCTTCTGCTGTGGTCAACAGCAAGTTACCTACTTCCTATTGATCAGTCACGCTCTGCCCATCTGGCATTGAGCTTTTCAGCGCCCTAGCATTCACTCCTCACAATATGATCAGTTGCATTCGACTTACGCGCTTTGATATGCATAATAAGTGAAGCCAACCCATATTTGGCCCTAGGTGGATCTCTGCTCTACTCTGTTCCTCTCCTTCTGTTCCATTCTCCTTTGACCATGTCCTCGCCTACTGGATCGGTGGCCCTTTTGGATCACATCCTGCATCCTTTCCGGTGGTGTACCATCTCCCCCTGGCAACCAAAGACATGGAACGCTCCCAAGGTTGGCCCTCCCAAGGTTGGCTTCACTATCGCGGACCATATTACTGCCATGATACCTGCTTTTCTAGGTATTTTATAGGACTTTTACATTCCTTCGGGAAAACTGCACTGAGACTTGGAACCCATTCCTGCCCTGTTCACCCAGGTCTGTCATCAGGCCCACCCACCTCAGTTATGTGCTCGATTCGTCACTCGATCTGGCAGAAGAGACAGAAACATTCTTCCTAAGGGCACGGCAGACGAGGTATGCCACAGGCTTGCTGTTGGCAGTTGCCATCACCCTACTAGTTCCAAGGTTAAGTTCCCGGATGGCGTCCTCAATCAGAATGAAGGGGCTTTTCCGACATGTTGATTGGATTTCATTCTATTTCCTTCTGGTTGCAAGGATGTCAGACTGACTCCACAATCTCCACTAGGCATCTGATTCCGCTGCCTGAAGGATACACTCTGGTTTATCCTCGGCCAGTCTTAAGCCTGGCATTTTTTTGTGACAGCCCTTTGTGCAGCGGCCATTTGTGTGTAATTTGAATTTATCACTTTAATTTATTTTATCAACTTTTTTAAAGGATTAAATTATTAGATCTGTTAATTAAAAACACTGAAAAAATTGCCTCAAAATAGATGAGAAATCATTTGGAAATGGGTAAAAACAATTTTACTTACAACCTATTTCCATTCCAAGGTCTCCTCATTGGATCACTTCTATTATCACATTGCATTCTTGCCTGAGAACGAAAACGATAATGACATGAAGATTTACCTACCTGCAGCCGATGGTATCTAGATTTATTCAGGCTTGTTAGGTGACGTTTTAAAACAGTTCTTATCAACGGTCATTTTAGATTTGGTTGTAAATGAAAATAAATTCTTCAAGTATATTAAAAAAAAAAATTGTCTGTCCTTAAAGACAGTTGAGTCTCCTTTTTAAGTTTAAGTTTTTACCCGATGACCGCCACGAAATTATTTCATAAATGTTTATGCTTGAATGAGTGATGGAGTTCCATGAGTCCACACGGAAGTTTTGCGGAAGTGAGAGGCTCGATTTTTGGCTCGATATTTCACTTTCAGTGTTAGTGCAATTTTTCAGTCAGTTTTCAGTTCCATTAAAATCCGAAGGTGATTTTCTTAAGAAATTAATGTACCAAAACTAATTCCAAAAACACTGACTGTTATTTTCTTTTTCAAGGGGCCCTGAAGCAAGGGCGGATCCAGGAGGGGGGGGGGGGGGCCATGGCCCCCCCCCCCCAAACGAAATCATTTTTTTTTTTATGTGACATCGCAATAATGGCAGGCAATGAGTACACCCCCCCCAAACAAAAAAACATTGGTTAAAGTGGTTTTCGGATCGTGACATCGAATCCAAAAATGGCAGGCAATGAGTACACCACCATCTTTTCCTCAAAAAAAAAAACATTGGTTAAAGTGGTTAGAAATTGCCTCAGATCGCACCACAGAGCATCTAGAATCCAAAAAATTTTCGGGGCCCTTAAGCGGGCCCCGAACCCCACGCCGTAATTTTTTTGACCCACTTTTTGGGGGGACCAAAAAATGTTTTGGCCCCCCTCAAAATTGTGTTCTGGATCCGCCCTTGCCCTGAAGCGCGCCAGGTGTCAACTTTCAGGCTCTATACATGTTTTACATGAATGCAAATTGTTGTTTATGGGACACTCTATAAAAAAAGGAAAGAAAGTTTTATCAGTACAATTCTGAACGATGGTCAGGATGTGCCCAAACACTTAACTAGAGCTTTGCATTTGTTGAGTTACAAAGGCAGAGCGGTCGGGCCATAGAACTATTTCATTAAATACAGCCAAGTTAAGTTACAAATATTTTAACAAAGGATCACAAAATTTAACCATTCGAGTGCAACCAATTATTTAGAGGCCAGGCACATCCCGACAACTATTCAGAATTGTTCTGATCAATCTTCTTTATTTCTTTCTTTCTTTCTTTCTTTCCTTCTTTTTACTAGACAATAAATATCCGCGGGTAAAACGGTTCTTGGTATGAACTTGTAACTTATAACTATATATCGACTTTCATCCCGAGTGGTGCATATTAGTCTGACATCATGAAGATGTCATAGGGTGTCAAATTACAAGAGATTTTTGACAAAAAAAAATGACTATTTTCTTTCACTTATAACTCTTGAACAAAATGATCAATCATGTTCATACGTTGGTATCAGATAGACCATTAATTGATAAACATTTTTTGTTGAGTGCGTGAACTCACTGGACCTTTACTTCGGGTCTACCGGAAGGTACAATTTAGGTGAATTTAAAATACAGACAGAAACTTCAAAATCAAAACAAACCGATTTTCTTCCAAACGATTTACGGAATCATGCTCAAACCTAGTACATGTACAAACTTGGAACCAAGTTACAAAGATATTGAACATTTTGTGACATCATCATGACATCATTAGGTATCAAATTACCATTCTATGGGCAAAATTTGACCAAAAAAATTCAGTTATTTATCTTTTTAACTAAATAGAGTATCGTGTTCATGTTTTCATGAGGTTGTAGACGGTGCCTTGAGCAAAATTTCATATTCCCAGGAACAAAACCACTTGACCTTTACTTCGGGTGTTGCTGGAAGTGCAATAAAACTTGAATATTACTTGAAAACGGAAACATTTTACTATAGACAAATAAATTATGGAAGTGTTTAGTGAGGAATGCCAGACACAAAAAACATCATGATGACATCATCATCCAAACGGGCACCCTCTGGTGGCACATCAAATAGAGGGGTTTGTTTTATTATTTTTGAAAACCATCCGTCCAAAATGTACCAAATGTATTCTTTGATTAACCATAAATAAGTTTGCCAGGCTTTAAAATCATGATGTCAACTGTTCTTTTTCAATCTAATTCTATCAGTTATCCCTGTCTTAATGGGTGAGTTCGAGCGTGTTACTCTTGCTACTCCCAAGTGCCGGAAAATGTTGCGTGCGCATTACTCAAAGTCCTCAAAGCCGAGTGCCGAGTTCTCCGAGTACTTTAGGGACTGAGTTCAGGGCCGAGTCCAAGTACACTGTGACGAGTCCGAGTCCAAAGCACCGAGTCCGAGTACATTCAAGGCCGAGTCCGAGTACCTAAGTCTGAGTCAGAGTCCGAGTTCAAGTACAACACCAAAAAAGTCAAAAAAACTGTTTTAAAAATAAATAATTAAATAAATAAAATTAAATAAAAACAAACACAACATGCATTCCGCTCTTCTTTACCAACTGGTTAACACTAAACAACTTTTATTAGTTTAAACAATGTAAAAATTAAAATAAAAGTCAGTGAATGCACTGGCAGTTTTCACCATTTCTTAAAACAAAAAAGAAGCGAATCATGCATAGCTGGGTAGACACCTGAAGGATTGGCTATTTTGGAAACCCTTTCCAGACAACAAACTCGATTAAGTACGCAAGAAAATTTTGTTAATAAAAAATTAACAAAACCAACCACAAAGCGAGATCTTAATTGCTGGTTGTTTGTTATTACATATTGAAAAACCGTGAAGCCACGAGCGAACATATAAAGCGTAAGCTTGGCTGGCTTCCGATTCACGAATCCTCAGTGTAAGTCACATTGGGGAGGCGGGAACTGGACTGAGCCGTAATACAGACTGCAACCACGCCATTGTGCGCCAGGTTGAGCAATGGAATCGATTTAAAAGAAATGTACTCGATGTGTGCTCCCGAGTAATGGGTCGAGTACCGAGTACCAAACCGTCGAGTCCGTGCAAAGTCCGGCAACTGTTCTGATGAAACCTAGCTCTACTTACTACAATAGAGGTATGGGTTGCCCATGAGAGTTTGGAGTCAATTGTAAGCTCCAAGTTCCTGAAACCGTTTTGTAGTTTTGATTGGAAGAGTTCCCAGGCTGTATACTTGTGGGTTAAAGTGCCTGCAAGTGATATTCACTTTGGTTTTACTAACATTGAAAGTCATTTCGTTGAAATCAGACCACTTTTTAAGCCCATTTAAGTCAAGTTGAAGGGTGTGTTCATTTTTTGGGCTTTCTATTCGGTACAAAAGAATATCGTCTGCAAACAAAACACAGTACAGCTAGAGGAAGTTGAATGGGTGAAGTCATTGATAAAAGATTGAATTTGCGGCAGGCCAGAAGTAATGCTAACCAAAAGAGGACCCGTTGCCTGCGACCTGTCAGAAATGATCTAACCTGACGCCACAACTCACCCTGGACATTGAAAGAAGTAGCTAGTTTTTCAAGTTTGTCAAAGCAAGAAATGTTTTGTTTAAAAATAAAAAGAAGGGCAGAATACCCCCTGATGCAATTGCTCCGTTGCAGAATAGTCAACCTCTGTCCTCAATGTTACTTCTTGTTTGGGAAAAAAAAGAAAAAAAAATGTAATGAAACTCATTTCCAAATACTGCATGGTTGCAAGCACAATCGTAACACTCACAGAACTCCTGAACAATGAGCTTCAAACAAACACTTTGTTTCTCTCAAAGTTTAGTTAACAATTGTACGAAGAACATATGAACTGGAAGAACTGTATCAACTGGACACTCACTTTAAAAAACTCGGGCTGTAAATATGGTTATTTTTCCTAGGTTATTGGAAAGCTCAACAAAATTATTTTGTTAATCTTCTGTACCGCCCTCTATCGACTTGCCAGTAAATATTAGGTGTAAATTCAACACAGCAATCTTGGAAATGCACAGACATGGTCTCCTAGTGTCAGTTATTTAAGTGCATAACATTCCATCATTACAACATGCATTTAAAATGCACTTTACTTAGGACACATATTACAATTTTACATTTTGTTTAAGTACATGTACATGTCCGATGTCAGACTGTACGCTTTTTTCTGTGCTTGTAGAGAGCTGCCAATTGATGAGAAAGTAATTAAAAAAAATAGGTTAAAAAGTTGTTGAAGCAAATTCAACAACTGTTTTATGTACGTAAATAAATCTGACTTTTGCACAATGATGCATTGTGGTTAACTTTTGCAGGATGATGAAGCAGCCAGGCACACAGCCTTAGTTGAGAGCATGCAGGCAGCTTACAATGACGCACAGAAGGAGAAACATCAGAAGAGATTGGAGAAACTGACTAAGATGGGACATGATACTTCTAACCTTAGATCCAGCTGGGATAGTTAGTGTTTTTATTCATTTAATTCTTATTGTTGTGCCGTCCTTGGTGCCATAATGATTTAAGTTTTAACTGTTTGCAGACAGTATTTGCATGTAGAGGTGCATATGCGGAGAGGACAACCTTCTCAATAACATTAGGAGGGTCTTGGAAATAAAGCCAAAATTAAAACGGGCTTAAAAAGGAATATGTTTTGTTTCTCGTGGAAATCCATGTCACAGTGGCTAAAACAATAGAAATCTTGTCAGCACTATAACTTAGAACTAAGAAATATTTTACATATGAACTTCCAATTCGGTTTGTGGATTGTTCTTAGAGACCATAAGAATGTTCTTCCCCCCCCCCCCCCTAATCTATGTTTATTAAGCATATAATGATAAGGCCAAACAACTCTCCGGTTTCTGGTATGGAGCTTGCCCCAAAAAGGTGGGGCAATGTGGGTTTTCCCCTCCCCCCTTTTTTTTTCTTCTTCAAATGTCTGCTGATGTTGCAGATAATGCTGCGATCCCCTTAAACTCTCAATATATCCTTCAGGGTGGAGCTTGAGATGACCTTACTATTAGGCCATGAGGCTTGAGTATTCTGCACACTTACAATTTCAAATGACATGAACATTCTTCGGGAAGTTTGGATAGAGAAAAATCAGAGAAAACAGTAACGTCTGACCATGCAGCGATATCGACGTCGTGCATGAGTTACCAGGCTGGTCATGAGCTTCTCATCCTCCCTTACATATTGCGGTAATTAAAGCGTTTACAGGTCCAGATACACGATCATCACTTCCACAATCTGGCTGCCAGACACACAATTACAAAATTACAACACCGTCTGCAAATGGTGTCCGACTTAATTTAGTGCAAAACAAATGGGAGCCTAGAGAGGTCACATAAAGCTTATACTCGATCGTAACCCCATCTAAAACATGTTAAAACTGTGCAGCAGCAGGATTCCAGTCAAATTAGTGAGTTTGGCGGTTTTGAGACATCATATTACATTGAAAAAAAAATGTTTTAATTTTACCGAGGCAATGGCTACAGTGATGTGTGTGCAGACCAGAAACCGGAGACTTTTTTGGGGTTGGCCTAATGTGATCTTTTATTTTGTTTTATGTACAGCTGTGTCTTCATGTGTTTTTTTTTTTTAATTCAGCTTGTTTGTACTAGATCTCTTGTTATTCGCTCACTCTTTTAAATCACATACAATGACTTCCCAACAGAAAGGCAAAAAAAAATTAAAAAATAACGATGTCAATGAACGTTCCATGTGACCGAGATAAGTTGATGTTAAAAGAGAGGTGTCGTGTCATGGGTAACAGTCACGGTTGTGGGGCATTTGTTTTTGTAAACACACCTGACTTGTTTAAAGAAGTTTTGCATGTAGCGCGTTCAAGATCTAGTGTGAAAAAGCCCAATTAATAAGCTTTCTTTAATAGTGAAAGAATCATTCAAATCACTCATGTACTTTTGCAGTTATGGAATGTAAACACAAACACAGTTTTTTAACCTTGTCCACGGATCACAATAAAGGTAAGTGATAGTTCAGCAAAACAAAAAGTATTCACATGTAAAGAAAAACACATCAGAACACGATTATAACCATGATAACTAACACTTATCATAACATTCATTTAAAAACCTACTGCTTCAGATGTTAAAATAACATGCTTAATCATGCCCTGCCTTGGATTTGGCTGCCCTGGACACTTATAGGACTATTTTTTATTTCATATTCAGGATACAACATGGTTTCATTTTTACTGAAATATCCCATACCTTAGTGTGATCAACAGACAAGGTTAAAAAATAGTGTTTGTGTACATGAGCAATTTAAATGATTCTTCAGCAAAACAAGGCTTATTACTTGGGCTTTCATATCCTAGATCTAGAAAGCGCTACATTTTTTTACTCACCCTGTATACTTATTTTTTTTGAGAGTGTCCATAAAGTTAATAGAGCAAATTATGGTGCCTTTCTGCCACAGACCAACAGGACAATTCCCCTCCTAAACAGGACACCAAAGTGGCTTACAAGACCTCACCCAGGCCAGAACAACCCACAATGCCTCAGCATGTTCAGCATCCACCTGAAGTGCCTATACCTTTACATGTGATGGATCATGTGATCAATCAAGTGAAAGACAGTCCTATCATGGTTGATGCATTCACCTCACCTGTGTATGACCAGGCTGTGCAAACAGGTATATTGGGTTCCAAGTACAACACAAGAGCATTCCCAGGCAATAGGACAATGCACATGTTCACAATGTGAACTGGTGTTGGCAGTGGCGTAGCCAGGAATTTTTCAGTGGGGGGTGCTGGGGGGGGGGGGGCTGGAACATTTCATGGGGGGCGTCATGTAGATCAATGATAATTTTTTTAGAAACTCAACATCTGGGGGGGGGGGGGGGGCGACAAGGTTTCATGGGGGTTGTCCCCCCCCCCCCCCCCCCCCCCCCCCCCCCCCCCGGGATACGCCACTGGGTGTTGGTCTCAGTGGAGCATTCCATGTGCTTTGAATTTTGAGATATTCCCATGAATATCTAGTCTTGGTTTTAAGACCTTTGTGGTTGTATCTTTGCTGTGTTATGTTTACATCAGCTCCACTGTTTTCGTTTCGTAATGCTTTGTTTTACTCAATTTCTAGCTCTGATGAGATCATTTCCATCAAACTTTTATTGGATTTTTGACTTGCATGAAGGTCTTGAATATGTGTAACAGTTCTGAATGTTTTATTTGTTTTTGGCAAATCTCCGCTGATTTTATATGGGTATCAATCAGCAGCCAATTTCTAACATGATTGTGAAGTAGTCATCTGACTGACGTACATTAGTAATTTACAAACACTGCTTGCATGACTTTTCCAGAGTTTCACTTCCCTCCTCATGAAGATGTCACACTTCAAGGTGGCCTACTGGAGCGAGAGCCCAGTGCTCACATTGAATATCGACCACACAGAAGAATAGCACAGCAGGAAGCAGGAAGGAAAGATCAGAAAATGGAGCGTATTCAGACATACAAAGCCCGGGAGAAGAAGAGAATTAGCAAAGAGGAAAGACAGTCAGAGGTAAATGCCAGAGTTATGACGCAGACACAGCAAACATCAAGGACAACATCACCGGGATCAGAGCCTGGAAACAGCCGAAAGAAGTCAGTCAAGAAATTGGAGAAGCCAGTTTGGGGGGCCAATACCAAGACCAAGAAACTCCAGCAGAACTCGGACAAAGATTTGACTGTCAACAAGAGGAAACGGGAGGAGAGGCGACAACAAAGGGCAGCAGAGCTCTTAGCAGAGCAAGAACGGAATGCTCCAGGGAGACTCTTAAAAGCAAAGAAACCTGTAGCTGCTGGGGCTGTGCAACCTGACACAGTTCAAGGGTCTAAGCCGACTCAATCAAGAGCTGGAGGTAGCCTGGACAGGAAGCCAAACCACAAACCCCATCATGGTAGGACAGACTTGGTGCAAGACCAAGGCGATATGCAAACTTGGACAGATGAAAACAGCGATCTGCCGGACACACCACCACTCAAAAATGGTGACTTTGTGCCATTCTTGCGCAGTGATGAACCCCTGATGAGTGAGGACAGTGTACCAGTCACTCCAGAGTCACATCAGATGCTGAGGCAGAGGAAGATTGTACAGACAGTCATCGCTGATGATAACAATAGAGGGCGGAAGGAGAACAAGATCAGATTACTTGCACAAAATGAAAAAGTAAGAGTGCTTGAAGTCAGATTATACAAACTCCCAAGTCCAATAAATAGGTTTCTTCCTGCTAACAAAGTATGAGACAATAATCTAACACAAAAACGAAAGGTTTTACTAAATAATGTTTATAACAATTTACCTATTAAAGTCATAATCTGGGTGATATTTAAAAAAAAAGGCTCATTAACCCTAAAAGGGCCGGGTTATTTTGACTATCTCTCAGCAGGGGGGGGGGGGGGATCCCTAAGATCTGGGCCATCGAGTGACGAAAAATTATGAAACTTGGTACATGCATAGAGCAACTCATCATGAACATACCCCAATAAATTTCGTGACTATAGTTCAAAGGGTTTTGGAATTATGGCTAATTAATTATTCATATGTACAAATGGTATTTCTGCTCTGTGAACACAACGTATATGGGCAAATTCAGTTTTTACGGTGCGTAGCGCGGGCAAATTTTTCGTTGCGCAGCAATCCATGGTCCGATTTTTATGCTTTTGGTATCAAAAGATGCACAAGGCTTGAGGCTAAAAAGTCATAACAGCTCGGGCTGGAAAAATTCTTTTTTCAAGGCTATCGCGAAAAAAGTTGAGGGCCCCCCCCCCCCCCCACCCGGCCCTTTTTAGGGTTAAAGGCAACAAGAGGCAGTTTTGAGTAGAAGTTGGTAAGCCAGCTATTTTACCTATTTGGGGTACTGAATCCGAATATGATTGTTACCAAACTGGATTTTTAGTGAAATAGGCCTAATTTGCATAAATCTCAAATACCTGTCGTGTAATATATTTGTTTTCATATTTGGGTATATTTTTATTATTATTATTTTTTTTTTAATTTATGTTTGTGATCTTACCTACACTTCCTGACTTCATAACATTTTGTAAAAGCAAAGCAGTGACTGAATGATTATGAGGACATGGTAACAATCCATAATAGCTATTATTATACCCTAAAGTTGCGCGCATTTCATCAGATATCATTTCATCAGATATCATAAAGTAGTCTTGCCAAACCTCAGTAATGTTGAGCTTCAAATTCATAAAGTTACTTGCTGGCACAGTTACCCTAACAAAAAGAAATGGGAAATCATCTGAAAAATGATAACGTCTTCATATTAAGGCCAAAAAAGAAAACAGGGGGAAAATGAAGTGTCCGTAAATTGGGCTAAAAATTAGGCTAAGTGTTGCCTAAAGTGGGGAACTTGAACAACTTTAAGGAAATCTCCCAAAATAAAAGATTATTGTTTCTTACAATAATTATGTCAAGATCAAAATGTTTTCTTACCCATAATTTTCGGAATTTTCCTTGATCTTGTTCAAGTCTCGAACGTTAAGCAACCCTTCACCTACTTTATAGCCCAATTTACGTATGCCTTGATCCCCCCTCTGTTTTGGTTTGCTTGGCTAAATGTCAAGATGTTATCATTGTTCACATAAGGTTTAATAAGGAAACTGTGCCAGTAAGCAACTTGGTGAATTTGAAGCTCATCAATACTGAGGTTTGACAAGACTACTTTATGATATCTGCAGACAAGGTAAATGCGCGCAATTTTGGGGTATAATAGTAGCCATTTTGGATTGTGACTATGTCCTCATAATCATAGTCACTTATATGCTTTAGAAAATGTTATTGAAGTAAGGAAGTGTAATTAGAATCACCAAAATAAACTTAAAAAAAAAAAATTAAAAATATATCCAAATATGAGAACAAATTTATTACACAACAGGTATTAAAGATGTATGCAAACTAGGCATATTTCCACTAAAAACAATCCAGCTTGGTAAGCATTATTTTTGGATTCAGCACCCCAATGCCTTTTCATGTAACAGTTTTTGAAATATCGCCTAGTCTATCATGTGTTGTTAACAGACAATGTGACTTTTACTGGCAACGTCAATTTTAGTATTAATAATTTTAATCATGCTAAATTATCAACCAAAGAAATGTATATAAAAAAACACAATGAATTACTATCCACAAACAGACTCCACTTAAAATGTGATAATAGTATCAAACACGTGGAGTTGTCTCAACTGACATGATGTCAACTTTCAAATATGTAAATTTGGGTGATGTGAAGAACTATGCCAGTCAAGAGTCAAACAGACGTGGTGTGCCCTTCATTGGCTCCTGAATACCCACACTTATATCTCCTGAGTTAACAGTCCGTGCTTTTCTTAACAGGACCCGCTGCTAAATCCTGATAGACTGAAGGACACAGAGCAGCGGCAAGAGCGTATTCTGCAGCAACTATCTCACCTAAGACAAGGTCTAATGATGAAACAACGGGAGATGGAGTTGGGTTTGTCCAGTCCTGTCTAAATATGTATGCTGGAACACACATGATTGGTCAGAATAGAAAACAGATGGATTGTGCACCTGATATCCAAACAGTGTACACAATGGTGTCACTCCACTAATGCCACATTTTATTGAATAACTTGCGCAACACTGCATGTTGCAAAGTATTTCAGTTGTACACTTCATGAAAAATTTGGCAGTCTGTGATTTACGGAACAAGGGGGGCAACCGCACTCACACGTCTGCGCAGAAATATAGACATGTGTTTTCTCTGGACACTTGGCCTATTTGGGGGGCGGGTACCCATCTTCCAAGTGGGGGCACTCTTCAAAACTGAGCATTATTATGCATACTGGAGAATATATGCTGATTTACACGCAGCATTGTCAGATCTTTCTCGCCATATTTGGAAATAGTTATGACAAAAATCTTTCAAAACATCCGCCTGAGGGAGGGGGAAGCCAAGCCCCCCTCCCCTCCCCTCGATACGCCTCTGGGATGAGCAACACAAGAGATGTCTTTGTTCAATTCAGCTTGCTACTTGACTTGTGACTGGATGTCTTTTGACTTCTGATGGACTTGTAAGGACTTATGCTGCCCTTGACTACAGTGTATATATATGTAATGAACTCTCACTTATGGATTATGTGGGATAAAGATTTGTAACAAATTGCATGCACTGATGTATGACACCAGCTAACAGAGAAATGGTTCAGCTTGCCGTCATTTAGACATCAAAACCATTGGCCTTATCAGTGTGTACATGTATGTATAAATAATACAGGGTGAGTCAAAAACAGTGGAACCAAAACCCCCTCAAAAATATTTCATATTTGAAAAAATGTGTAGCACCAAAAATAATAATGACTGGAAAGACAATTTTATGAACTACTTTTAGACGAAAAAAAATTACTGAAATTGCTCATATGCGTTGAAAGAGTATAATCATTTCTACGCAATGACCCTAAAACCTCTTTCGTCCAAAAATGTGATTCCAAGAGATGTCGCCTAACTTGTCTTCAAACATCGCCAGCGATAAAATAACAGTTTAAAAGTAAAAATATTCAACAAAGTCCTTCTGAAGGCCTGTCTTTAAAAAAAAAGTTGTTTTATAAATCATATTGTTTGCCTAAACAGTTTTCTTAATAAGTATACATGTATTGTGTACTTCCCATTGGTGACAGTTGTTGAAGCAAGTATTCTGTGTCATTTTCTTTGTTGTTCGAAACAGTCACAATAAATTGTTTGTTTTGGGGTATTTTTGGACGAATAAGGTTTTAGGGTCATTTCATTTCAATGGTGATATTCTTTGAACAAATTGAGCAATTTCAACAATTTTTTTCATCTAAAAGTAACTTATGAAATTGGCTTTCCAGTCATTATTGTTTTCGGTGCTACATATTTTTTTTAAATATGAAAAATATATTTGGGGGGTTTGGGTTCCAAGCCTGTATTTCAGTTGATATTTAACAGACTTTGCTCGTAGCACAATATATCCAGAAAACAAAACATTCAGATGTCTTCAACCTTGGCAGCATGTTGTGCATATTTCTAACGGTTGACATCGGTATTGCACATATTTTTAATTGTGCATTTTGTTTCTTGAAATTCCTGAATCATTATTAGCTATTATAATGTACACAAAGCTAAAATGTTATTAAATGTTTCAATTTATTCAGCTGTGAATGAAATAATAATTTAGGGCCACTTAGGTTCTTAGAAATGCTTCCTTGAAATGCTGTGAAGGTTGTAAAAAATAATGCAAGTAGTTGAAGAATGCATAGGATTTGATTGTTTGAATTTTGAGAATTTGGTGACACAATATCAGCCATATGGTTGCGAAGGGCGATTTCTAAAGGTTACTTAACACTTTATTTTGAATGAAACTACATGTACACAGACATGTTCATGTTGGTGGGTGAAATCTTTAAAAATTAATTTCTTCCGTTTGGAACACCGTATCTTCATGCAACGTTCAGGATTTATTTCCCCTATAATGATCAAAGTATGTGCTAAAAGTCGTTGTGGTATGTTCATTACTTTTCGTTGAAATTGGAAAAATAGGCCTGGCTACGTGCAATCTTGAAAATTGCAACACTGGCGTGCGCAATATCTATCAATCTTTTCAAGCCTCACAAATATTAATGAGGTTCCTATCCATTACGGTGTGCAGTAAACAATTGCATAAAAGCCTCCTTCACGAGTTATTAATTAACAAATATCACCCTTTTTATTTTTGCCGGCATTGGTCGATACCAAGACCCACGCCATGTCACGCCGAGTGTCGCTAATGAATATGCTAATATGCCCTTCATCATAGTGTGCCAGGCCGAAATCGGTCAGCCGTAGCACCTACGGCGCTTTGCTGGACAATGCAAATGTGTTGGGTAGGCAAATAATTTGTTTGATCCTCTTCGAAAGTTTCCTTGGAGATGGTTTCACTTGGTAACACTAGCGTCCGCAACAACAAATTAAGCTGCAATTCGGAATATAATTAAATGATATAAGTGTTCAGCTACTTGTGAAATGACAACTTGTGTAAATTCCTAGAAATTGGGATAAATACGTACATTTGGAGAAGTTTTCGAACGATTTCTTCCAGACTTGAGGGTTAGTTTTGACAGAAACCAGTATTGACGTTTCGGCATTGATGACGGCATTTTTTCACTGACATGAAGTTTAGAATTTCTTCTGCAGTTAGAATGTAACATTTCAATCATACCGAGCATATTTTCTGAGAAACACAACGTTCAAAAGGCAATGCTTTTGGGGGCTTGGGAATTTCAATGTTCTGTTACAGCGTCTTGGTACATAATCGGATTAGCTTTGCCTGACAACGAACGACGCTTTGCCTACGCAACCATATGGCTGATATGATGTTTGTTCGAAGGGAGATATAAATAGAGGGTTTGTTTCCATTTTGATTTATCAAGTGTAAAATGAAATGTGAACTAACTATAACACCACACGAGTGTTCACAGCAGATGGAGAACCAGTTGACAAAGGTATGGTCAGTATATATGTGTACATATGAAAAATTTATTTGTTTGGTATTGTTTGGCCAAAAATGTATTTTATGCCTGAATTGGCCGTTTTGTTCTCATTCTTAAGGTTTGGATAATTGGGGGAATATTATTGTACTTGTCGAAATGTACAAGAGTAACACGTATTGCTATTTTGTATACTGATAAACAAGCATTTTACTCCTTTGATTAGTGAAGTAAAATCAGCCTCCAGAGGTGATCCATGGGGCGTTCTTTGGAAAGGGAAAATTAAATGTTCCCTTAATCACCTAGGGAGACCCACTTTTACCATGAGTTAACATGGTTAATGTGGTTAAATTGTTTGATAAGGCCTCATCCGCAGATTTTGCTTGTTTAATTTAATTAAAGTTATACATGTATGCAGTTTGGTTTTTGTTGGGGGGGGGGGCGGTGGGCGGGGTATTTTGTATGGTTTTTGATAGATAGGCCTATCAGATTTATTGAACAAAAAGCCAATAAAGTGTATCGTTATTTCAGTTTGAAATTAGTTGAAACGTTACTTGTACTTTTCCAAATGACCCATCAATTCAGTGTTTGTACCTGGCTCTCTACCGCGTGAAAACAGTGTGTAAAAACATGGGCATGGGCATGGGCACATGACCTTCCATCTGCTGTGCTGGTTGCTGTGCATATACTAGTTTTTCAGAGCAAGGGTTTTTTGGCTTTGCAGGTTAACATAGGTTTTCCCGGCCACTTTCACCGAGTTTTCATTCAATTTAACGCCTGGCTCATTCGATTTAGATTGAAATTAAAAGATCACGCAGATCGGCATTCGACAATAAAATAGAATCATTCAATTTCACTATCCGAGCATTATATCGCCTTTTAGCTTCACTCGTCCCTATCAAATATGCATTCATATTAAAAGTATCGCGTTGTTCATTCAATTTCGTCTGAACCAGCAGTAAGGGGTTGATCGGGCATTCGTTTTAATTAATGTGCAAACATATTTTACATTTTGTCAAACATCTGTTGACGTAAGATGGAGTTACGATGATTCATATATACGTGTCTGTATTCCTTAGCGTAAATCATAATTGATGTATTCAATCCGAAGATGCCTTTCTTTCTTTCTTTCTTAAAGGGTATGTGCAGTGAATTTTCCCGGGAATTCTGTTTTGTGCCACTCTTTGCTATTGTGAAATGTAAGAAAACTACAAATTTGACATTTTTGGGGTTGATCTTAATCAAAAGTGCACTTCTTTAGACATTTAAAAGTTTCCATGCTTTTTTTGACTACGTATGAGCGCGCCGTTACTGTGATGTTATTTCAGGAAGACACTGTTAAGTTTAGGGGTTTTTCTTTCAAATTATTCATCCAAAATTTGCTAATTGAAAACATTTGTGGGAAAGGGTTGCTCATTGGCTTACTGCCATGTACTGACACATCACAGAACAGTGTTGGAGCAAAGGCTTTGACCCTCAAGGCCTAGGCCCTTTGACCCTCAAGGCCAAGGCTTTGACCCTCAAGCCTCGAGGCCAGGCTTGACCCTCAAGGCCAAGACCAAGGCCCTGTTTTATGAAATGACCACTGATATAGAACTAATTATAGTCACATGAGTGACACTTCATCACGCAAGGGCGGATCCAGAACACAATTTTTTTTTTGGGGGGGGGGGCAAAGAATTTTTGGTCCCCCCCAAAAAAAGTGGGTCAAAAAATTACGGCTTGGGCTTCGGTACTCATTGCCTGCCTTTATTACGACGTCACATTAAAAAAATGGTTTCGTTTGGGTTTTTTTTTGGGGGGGGGGGGCTTGGCCCCCCTGGATCCGCCCTTATCATCACGAATTGCTCGTTACGAAGAACAACATTTCTTTAATTGCAATCAACATGCTCGGATAGGCCTACACCGTTTTATGACTGCACTGTATCTATATATTAAAGTATAAGTTCAGGTCTTCAATATGGTTTAACTAAACAAAATAATGATTTACTTCTATATTGACACACAATTCTCCCAAGTGTAACAAAAGGGGGATCCAAGAAACTGATTTGGGAAATTTTTATTTGCTGGCCCAACATGGTCAGAAATATCAGCATTATCTAAAGCAGATACATGCAAATCTTTAGCACTTATCAGGGAGACATATATAACCAATCAGATCTATTCCATAGTTATATGCAATTAATCATCCAGTGATCATCTCATTAGCCCCAGAAGTGTACGGAATATTTTTGCAGCAAATCTACTATAATGGTAACAAAATGTGATACTACAAAAGTGGATGTGTGCCCAACACACAAATCTATAGGGTGCTTCCCTCCTCCATGGTAGTACGATTAAAATGGTAACAGCAAAATTTCGAACAGATTTATCTGGAAAATGCAAAAATCTATGGGCCTTGAAGAGCCTTGACTCAAAATTGCAAGGCCCTGAACCCTCAAGGCCAAGGCCAAGGCCAAGGCTTTTGCCCTCCAGCCTCAAGGCCAAGGCCCTAAAATCCAGCCTTAAGGCAGCCTTAAGGCCAAGGCCCAGCATCAAGGCACTACATCACTGTCACAGAATCACCAAATAAAAGAAATTTATGACAGCAAAATATCAAAAATTCTACCAACTTTTTTGCTGAAATAGCCATGTAACATTAATCATGCCCGGAATGCCATCACAGGTTTCCTAATGAATATGAAACTTTGCAGTAGCATAAAAACGGAGAAGGCACAAAAAAACACCCCTCAAAATGGAAAATATAACTTGCAAATAAGGTTGAATGTGACATAAGTATTTTCAAGGTTTGCATTGAAAACTTACTTTGTATGGGCCTTTACAAAGTGTTCGGTTAGTGTTCGGTCAGACATACGCAAGAAAACATTTAAGAAATAACGCATTCGAAGTGTTTCCGATGGTACAACCATTGCCAAACATACATGTCTTGCACGTCAAGAAATCGTCAACGTAAAGTTGCCCCTTGCTCAAACGTTTAAACAAGTAGAAAAGATCAACAGCGCAAAAGAAATTATCTTAGCCCCTTTCAATTAGTTATTTCGTTACATCTTGTTTCATCATATCAGTTAATTTGTAACATTGTAAATTTTTCAGTCATCAAGTTTTTTGGGGGAAATGA